TGACGACGCTATCGAAAAGAATGACGCTGTGCAGCAATTCGGTGCGGCACCTCCCGTGTTGATGGTGCTCACCTCGGAGAAGGGATGGCCGTACTCGTGGAATACGATACAGGATCTTCCTAAGGACGTTTTTGTAAACTGTGAGGTGGATCGAGTGTGGCAGATCGTCAAGGGCGGTCTAACCGCGTGGTTCAGCCCTCACGGCGGGACCGACTTTAGGCCCGAGCGACGTGTGTTGATTGGGACGCCCAGGATCGGGAAATCGGTGGCTGCCGGCTCGTACTTCCTCTACCAGCTGCTGCACTGCGATTTTGAGAAAATCCAAGTGGTTGTCCACTGTTTTGGTGGACGAGATGCGTACGTGTCTGACAAGACCATCCAGAGCGGTGACAAGATACAGCGATGAGGACATGTGCATCTCGGAGTTGAGAAGTTTGAGGGGGCATGGGAGGAATGTGTATATTATCTACGATGTGGCAAAGGAGGGAACGCCGCCACCGAGACATTTTGCGCCTACTTCTGGATGAGGCATGATTGCGGTGTCATTCCCAAAGGTAACCAACTGTGATGAGTGGGTGAATCAGCTACAAGCCGCGCGAATCATCGTGAATTGCCCCGATGAGATGGATGTGAAGGCGATGTGCGCCTGGATAACGCGTGATGAGACTAGAGAGAAACAAGCGGAATACTGGAAAGAGGTCAAAAAACACATGTATCTTTTGGGACCGATTCCACGTCACGTCTTTGATGAGGAGGCGTTTACTGAACGCTGTGGAGCGGTGAGGTTTGCATTGCAATCGATCAACGAGGTAAATGTGAAAGAGTACTTTTCACGGGGAGGTGAGTCGCCATGGTATTCTGAGGATCCGTCCCACAAGCCTGTGAAATTTGTTCGGGAAATATACGCAGGCGGTGTGATCCTTTTCAATGCACCGATATCTGCTTACCTCGAGGAACGGACATTGGAACGCTTCCCAAGTGTAACGAAATAAAATGGCTTTTTGAGGCGGATGTTGGCGTCGAAGGATAATATTTTGCCCATATTTTTTGGATGGTTTGCTTTGAAATCGTTGACGGAGAGTGCCTTTGTAAAGGTAATGGCGACGAAACTCACGGAGTTTGAGCCGCCAACAGGACGTCAAGCAAAGCCCTGCGTCTTGAAGTTGGCCCCTGAATTGCATCCCAAGGGAGATGAGGGTTTGCTGCCGAGTGAATATGAGAAAACGATCCGTAAAATGAAGTACGGGGTGCTGTACAAACCGTGGGCCACAAACTTTTCGCTGGTGAACGCCTTTTTTTCTCGGAGTCCAATCCAATGACGCTGGTTGGGCTGCGGATGGCTACGGCGGGTGGGCGCCACACCACCGCCAGCACTGTGAGGCAGTTCACTGAGTGCCTGGCGGCGTATTTTAGTGGTTGGGAGGAGTTATCCCAAGACATGTCGTGGGGGATTATTTATGTGCAGCAGGCAGACAGCACGCCGATGAACGACTGGCAGAGATGTGATGTCGACAATTCCGATAATGTGAGCGACGAGAGCCGTGAGATTCGGTGTTCTGGAGGGAAAAGGTGCGCCACTACTAAGTGTCAATATCGTACAGAGACTTTAGAAGAGAAGAAGCTTTCCGAAGTGTGCAAAAAAATAATAATAATAGGAAAATGGACTGGGAAATTGAAAGTGAACGAGACAGTTTGATTTGTGGTAAAAATTATTGTGGGATTTATGTATTTTTGGTTGCTTGTGTCTGAGCATGCGGTGCGGGTGCACCAGCCCCATGCGGCAGCACCGCACACAAATGCCAAAATGACCAACGCTATCGAACACAACAGTGACCGAAGAAATTAGGGAGGGATTGGGGTTGCTTGGCTTCTGGTGAAAAAAATTGGGTGAACTTTATATGGTATGTTGATTGTGTGTGCATACGAGGCGTAATTGGAGAAATGCCCCGGTATGAGGGAATCATTGTGGCTGGCGCTGTCGCAGTACCACTGCATTGCCCATTTTCTTCTATTGTGTTCGAAGGCCCATCACTAACAGAGGCAGCTTTAAGGGATGGACGACGAATAATTTCTATTGAGGAAACAGTGCGCTCCGTGTGACCGCGTGGACTGAGGCGCCGCGTCATGGATGGGTGAGGATCCGCTTCCGTGTGTGGCTCTTTGGGTGATTGCTCGCTCCGTGTGCGTTGTATGCCGGCAGCGGGCTGTGGCCGTATCTCGTTGTCCGTGGGATGGAGCTTGGAGGCGGTGGCGGTGTGTCGCTTCTTGTTGTTGTCTATTGGTGGATGATTGCTGGCGGTGTGTGCGTTTGTTGTGTGGAGGGCCGAATCCTCTCAACCGCGGACTGACGGCACTGCGATGGTGTGTGTCTGTGAGGGCTGGTGTGGAGTTGCCGGCCAGGGCGAGGGCCGTGGCGGTGCTTTTCCCGCTTGTAATTTGTTTCTTCCGTGTGCGTTGTGCTGCTTCTTGCTTTTTTCCCTCTCACCCTTTTCTCCTGTGTTCCTGCGTGGAGTGGCCGCATGCTCACGGGCCATGTTGATTGTGAGTGCCTCTTGACGGCATCCGTCTCCCTCTCTCTCTCCGCCTGTCTGTCTGTCATTCCCTGTTGGGTGTGGCGTGTTGCACCGCGTGAGGGCTGGCCCGCACACACCGACGGCCCGCCGTGACTTGCCGTGTTGCTGCTCTTTTCTGTGGGCGATGGTTCTCCGTGCCGTCCCTTCCGGATTGTCTCGTGCCCCACTCTCTGCGTGGGTGCTCTGCTCTGCTCCTCACTGACTTTTCTGGTGTATTGCCGCTGTTGCTGCTGTACTCTCCACTTCTTGAACACAGACACACTAGGAAAGAAAGAAAGAAAACAAGCGCGAATCGCTACTGTGAAATTCGAAGTCTCTGAAAGGACCAACAACAGCACACACATTGCCCACGCACACACACATATTTATATGCTCTCACGTGCTGCTGCAGTGAAGGCACCCCGCACACACAACCGTCGCCGCGTGACCGGATCCAGCGGAAGGAGGAGGGAAGGAGGAGAGAGTAAGCCGCAGAGGCCCAAAATGTCCCGGCGTGTGTTTACTTCCGCGGTGCTGCTCCTACTTGTCGTGTTGATGTGCTTCAGTGGAGCTGCGACCGCTGAGGTGGGAAGTAATGCTGATGCTTCAACTTCTGGGTTGGCATTGACGGGTGCCATTACTGCAGAGGGGAGTGCTTCAGGGGGTGTTGAGGGGCTGCAGGGAGTCGATCTATTTGTGCCGCAGACGACGCAGGTGCTGCCGAAGACGGGGACTGGCTCAAGTCGGAGGGATTCATTTGTTTCACCTTCTCTCGTCAGTGCTGGTGGAGTAATTGCTGCTTTTGCCGAAGGTCACATAGATGCCAAAAAACCCCATACCGAATCAACTAACCCGTCTTCTGATGTTGTTGCGGAGTACATCGACTCTGCGTGGGAATGGCCCACTCTTGTTGAAAAGGTCAAAAAGGAAGAATGGAGGGCACACACCGTGCTTGGTAAAGCGGAGGGAACGGATAATAGTGTGGTTTTTTTTTACCACCCCACAACCACCACGAAGGACAATAAGGTGTTTCTTCTTGCGGGAAGCCTTGATTTACACAATGAAAGTGATGGGAAGTGGAAATGGGACAACTTTGAACTGAAACTGGTTGTGGGTGATGTGAGGGAGCCTACGAGCAGCGAGCTGACTGAACGTATCAAATGGGACCAAATCAGGTCTCTGTTAAACGAGAGTACTATAGCTGCTCACAAAGGTGAATTGAAGGAGTTTCTTGCCGCTGGTGGCTCAGGTGTTCTGATGGAGGATGGCACGCTTGTGTTTCCTCTGATGGCGAGGAGCGGAAATGGTGTCGTTTACTCCATGATCATTTACTCGAAGGACAACGGCAGTAATTGGGTGCTCTCGAAGGGCGTTTCCCCTGCGAAATGCTACAACCCCCGCATCACCGAGTGGGAGGGATCACTTCTCATGATTGTTGACTGCGAGAGCAGCCAGAAGGTGTACGAGTCGCGTGACATGGGGACAGCGTGGACGGAGGCAGTCGGGACACTCCCAGGCGTGTGGACCAAGTCAAAATCGGAAGAATATCCGGAAGGAGGCTTGCATGTGGATGCCCTCATCACCGCGGCCATTGGGAAAAGGAGGGTCATGCTGTACACTCAGAGAGGGTACGCCTCGGGGAAGCAAAGGGAAAGAGCGCTCCACCTTTGGGTGACGGACAACAACCGCTCGTTTTCTGTTGGACCGGTTGGCATGGACAATGCTGGGGAGAAGGAGGTCGCCAGCACCCTGCTGTACTCGGATGGCAAGTTGCATCTTTTACAACGGAGGGAAAACGATAAAGGCAGTGCCATTTCACTTTCTCGCCTGACGGAGGAAGTGAGTACAATCAATTCTGTCCTGAAGACCTGGGCGCAAAAGGACGCCTTTTTCTCCAGCTTGTCTATACCCACGGCGGGTCTGGTGGCGGTATTGTCCAACGCATCGGCTAACAACGAAACGTGGAACGACGAATACCTTTGCCTGAATGCGACGGTGACGAAAGCCACGAAGGTCGAGGATGGATTGAAATTGACGGAGCCTAACTCCGGGGTAATTTGGCCTGTAAACATTCCGGATGATAATGTGCGTCATATATCTTTGAGCCACAACTTCACACTTGTGGCGTCGGTGACCATCGAAAAGGCTCCGAGTGAGGACGCTCCTCTACTGGGTGCAATGTGGGGGGACAATAATTCCCCGCATACCATGGGAATCTTGTATACCGCGGATAAAGAGTGGGTGACGATGTTCAAATACAAGAAGACAACAAAAAGTGGCACTTGGGAGTCGGGGAAAGAATACCAAGTGGCACTCATGCTGCAAGGCAACAAGAGCTCTGTGCACAT